ATGGTGCCGGAAACACCAAGGTCCAGAATTCAATCTCTGCACCAGCAAGCTGCCACCAAAAAAAAAAAAAAAAAAAAAAAGGTAGCAATAAAAATGTTTATAAGATTATTGTAAGGATCAGGTAGGACATTGTATTTGAAGACCGTTGTGAAGTGCCAAGTACTATAAAATTTAAGTATAAAGTGAAATATGTATATGACCACTTAGCATAGTGCCTGCCCTGTAGTAAACCCTCAGTATATGGTGATTGCCTTCCACCTTAGCTTGCATTGCTTTGCTGTTTTGGAATTCCTGTTCCCTTGAAAGGTGAGTTCCTAAAAAGCTACACTCATCTAATGTCTACAACTTATCTGAACCTCAGAGTCGCCTCCTACTTCCTTCTCTCCTCTCTCGTTTTCCAGAGCTAGTTGCTCCCCTCAACCAAGCTTTTTATTGCTGGGACGGTATCTCCATGTTTGTTTTCCCCTGTAGTCACTGTCTTCATTGTGGGAGAAATAGGGGCTGGGAAATTAGGTGGTCAGGAATTTGAGGATTTGGGCCTCATCACTAAAGGAGGCTAAGCTTTTGCTCCAGAATGATTCAAAAATCTAACAGCGTAGAAGGATTTTTTCTGGCCTCATAATAGATTTGTTTGTCATTTTGCCAAAAGTATAATTAGAAAAGGAAATGTCCTGGTTCTTAATTGTATATGGAACATCACTCTCTATTTAAAAACTTGTTTCTCTTGAAATAAGTTTTAAAGGTTACATCCTAGTATGGGTAAGAATGATTTTTCTTGGTAACTTCATGCCCTTTTGTGTAAAATTTGACTGCTTCTAGTTCTGTGTTGCTAAGGGATTAATCAGTGCAAATGACTAAATTAACACTAGGGCTGAGAGAGGTCTTAAAACAACTGAAAAGTTTGGTGCAGAAACTCCAGGGAAAGAGGAAAAGCAGACCCACGTGACTCTGCCACTATGGACCTCTATGTTTGTTTTTCGGTGAGGGCCAACTGCAAAGGACACAAAACAATCATAGCAGGTGCTATGGTTTGAGTGTTTGTATCCCTTTCAAAATCCATGTTGGAACTTAAACCCCAATGTGATAATATTAATAGGTGGGACTTGCAGGAGGTGGTTAAGTCATGTGGACATAGTGTTCGTCCCCTATGGAGTATGCAGCAACAAGATGTCATCTTGGAAGTACAGACCAGACCCTAACCAGTCACCGAATCTGCTGCTTCCTTTATCTTGGACTTCCCAACCTCCAGAACTGTGAGAAATAAATTTCTGTTGTTTATAAATTACCCAGTCTCAGGTATTCTGTTATAGCAGCTGAAGGGACTAAGATGGCAGGTGTGTCTAGCTGATGAAAACATGCCAGGAAGTCCACGCATAGTGCTTTGCATGTGGTAGGTACTCAACGGCTAGATGAGGATTGACTGAGCATCCTTTCCACCGAGCACTGTTCCAGACAAGGGGCATAATAATGAGAAAAACAGTTCCTGATCCCCATATACTTGTGTTCTAGTGATATTTCATTGAACAAGCATTGAAAGAATAATGAAATAAATGGTATACTAATATAATTTCCCACAAAGAACTTTAGGAACACATAAAAAAGAGCAACTGACTGCCTGGGTGGGAGTGAAGTAAATGACGCTATTGAAAATGATGTAAAGTAGCGTTTATTACTAGATACTAGTCTGTACAAAATAAATAAGTAAGGGAATTAAAAATACTGTTGATGGTCAGTGAGGCAAAATTAAAAAAACATTATGTTCATACAAAGGTGTTGATGGGGACAGAATGAGGACCCGAGCCCAGATCTTCTGCCCCCAGGACCTCTACCATTTCCACACATAGTTCAGCATATTTTTATCTAAAATATTAAAAGCATATATTTATTTTTTTAAAAGTTGGACACATAGTTGAACTACTGTAGTCACCAGAGCTGGAGAAGAGGATGTTTCTCCTTCAATGTTCATGACTTGTCTTTTCTGCCAACTCTTTTTGGGCCCAGCTCTGACATTTAAGTTCGACTGTGCAAGTGGCCTGTGGTGTGTCTGCTGCTGTGGGCATTTACAGTGAGAAAGAATGCTGGGGAGACCTTTTGTCTTTGATCCTGGACTGATGAAGAATGGCTGCGTGAGAAGAGGAAAAGGGACTTGTGGGCAGTGGAGGTGCTGCTGCCACTGGAGTAGGCTACAGCAGGCTTGATCACCATCCACCTTCCAGCCCTCTGTGTCCGGCTGCCTCCCTCCCACACAGAAAAGACAGGTCTGAGGATGCACAAGTAGTTACCACTCCAGAGGGAATTGAAGAGGGCAGGTTACAATTACGAGTCACAGTACAGGCGGTATTGATGGCAGTGGGAGGGGGTTCTTTCACATGGCCAGAAGAGACACTCATCCTGGAGGAGGGCATGCCCCACTTGTCAGGGGATGCCATCGTCACCTATGGAGGTGTGGATCTGTGTTGGACCAACCCTGAGTGTGCTATCAGGAGAGCTTACAGCATCTAGGGCTCTGACCTTTGACTTCCCAAAAACTTCTGTGGGAAGCCTTGTTTCTAGGATGCAGGATTTAAAAACAAACAGGACAGAAATCAGAGAGAGACAGCCAGACTTTCAAAGAACTCTGGTCTTTCCAACCTAGAACGCAGAAGCCTGTAAAGATATTTTTTACCCTAGAAGAGCTCCTTGGAATGTTACCTATCCCTCCTCAGTGGAGGGAAAAGGAAATCACTCTCTTCAAAGAAAAGACAAATAACATTAAGAGATGAGCAGAGATGCATTCTTAACAGAAAATATTTTAGTAGAAACAGGCACTCAACAAGAGGCTTAAACTCTCTCTACCATCATCCAAAATAACAGTATAGAAGGTACTTACAGGTGTGAAATCAGAAAAACTCCCCAGAAGCTCTGGGGAAAAGGATGGTTTCCTCAAAGGACGCCTACTAGAGGGATTTTTTTTTTTTAGCTTTTTTTGGTGAATTGCGCGATTAAACAAGTATACCTCTGAGTTACTCTTGACTGCAGGTACTGTTTGTTTTGTTCTATTTTTTCTTTTTTTATGGTATTATTCAGGAGGTGCAAATGAAGATGACTTTTATGGTTCTCACTCCAAGCAGGGCACAGATCTTTTTGACCAACTCATTTTTTCTTCATAGTGATTAGAGAGAAGCTGATCTCATGGAGAGAACCAGCAACCAGAGAGAACTGGATCAGCACACTCAGATGGATGACAGAGGCCAGAGTTATGCATGATCTATAGCCATGGCCAGCACTCGGGAGACCGTATTGGATGGAAGCAAAGACTTTAGTATAAATTGAATAATAAAGACTAAATTTTCAGGAACTAAATCAGTGTTTTCCAACTTTTTTAATCTGTTTTTTTCCCCCCAAAGCACACATCTTACATTTCCCTCAAGATTCCTATATGATTTTCTTTCAGAGGAATCCCTCACTATTGACAATTCTTACCTTGCTGGGAAGATTGGGTAGAGTTTTATTTTCTGTAGATTGTATTATGAAAATAAAAGACATTTCTTTTTATTTTTAAAACATACAATAACCAAATTCAATGTACTTTAAAGAAGTCCTTTGCTCCCTCTCAGAAATTGGGATACGCTTTCTTAAAGATCAAGCTCATCCTCTTGGACCTCTCACATACCTAGTTGAAAATGCCTGGACAAAACTTTGAACTATAAGGAGACAAAAACTAAGATTTTGTAATAAAGGTGCTGAAGCAAGACGTGCACATCCCTTTGCAGAACAGATTGCACAGGACAGAACTGTGAGGTTGTTTAATACAATGAGGACACACATTACTTAGGGATAAATGTCTCTTTATAAAGAAGGTCAATGTATTAAGAAATGTGTCTGCCCACAGCTCTGCGTAGGGCATCTTTGACCTCCTTGTTCCTTAGGGTGTAAACCACAGGGTTCAGCAGGGGAGTGATGATGGTGTAGGTAACTGAGAGAAGGAGGTCTTGTTCTGCAGAATTTTCTGACTTGGGCTTGAGGTAGGCAATGGAGGCACTGCCATAGTGGACAATGACCACAGTGAGGTGGGAGGCACAGGTGGCAAAGGTCTTCTTCCGGCCTTCGGCTGAGGCAATCTTGAGGATGGCGGAGATGATGAGGACATAGGAGATGAAGACCACATTCATGGAGACCAGGATTACAAATGAACTGACAGCAAAATTAATTATTTCATTGAGAGTGGTATCAATACAGGAGAGTTTCATGACAGGGAGAATGTCACAGAAGAAATGACCAATCACCCTGTGACAAAAGGGTAAGGTAAATATGGATGCCACCTGTATACCTGCCATGGCCAGGCTAATGCCAAAGGCTCCACACATCAGCTGGACACGCATCCTCTTGCTCATGATGACTGTGTATCTTGACAAAACTTTGAACTATAAGGAGACAAAAACTAAGATTTTGTAATAAAGGTGCTGAAGCAAGACGTGCACATCCCTTTGCAGAACAGATTGCACAGGACAGAACTGTGAGGTTGTTTAATACAATGAGGACACACATTACTTAGGGATAAATGTCTCTTTATAAAGAAGGTCAATGTATTAAGAAATGTGTCTGCCCACAGCTCTGCGTAGGGCATCTTTGACCTCCTTGTTCCTTAGGGTGTAAACCACAGGGTTCAGCAGGGGAGTGATGATGGTGTAGGTAACTGAGAGAAGGAGGTCTTGTTCTGCAGAATTTTCTGACTTGGGCTTGAGGTAGGCAATGGAGGCACTGCCATAGTGGACAATGACCACAGTGAGGTGGGAGGCACAGGTGGCAAAGGTCTTCTTCCGGCCTTCGGCTGAGGCAATCTTGAGGATGGCGGAGATGATGAGGACATAGGAGATGAAGACCACATTCATGGAGACCAGGATTACAAATGAACTGACAGCAAAATTAATTATTTCATTGAGAGTGGTATCAATACAGGAGAGTTTCATGACAGGGAGAATGTCACAGAAGAAATGACCAATCACCCTGTGACAAAAGGGTAAGGTAAATATGGATGCCACCTGTATACCTGCCATGGCCAGGCTAATGCCAAAGGCTCCACACATCAGCTGGACACGCATCCTCTTGCTCATGATGACTGTGTATCTTAAGGGGTTGCAGATGGCCACATAGCGGTCATACCCCATTACTGCGAGCAAAAAGCAGTTGTTGATGGCTAACGTAATAAAGAAGAACATTTGGGTGGTACAAGCTGCTAGAGAGATTGGCTGGCTCTGGGCTAGGAGGCCAGAAAGCATGTGTGGAATGATGACCAGCGTGTACACCATCTCTGAACTAGCCAGCATGCTCAGGAATAAAGAAGAACATTTGGGTGGTACAAGCTGCTAGAGAGATTGGCTGGCTCTGGGCTAGGAGGCCAGAGAGCATGTGTGGAATGATGACCAGCGTGTACACCATCTCTGAACTAGCCAGCATGCTCAGGAAGAAGTACATGGGGGTGTGGAGGTGATGGTCAATGTAGATGATGGTCAAGATGATGACATTGCCAGCCAGGGTTAATGTATACAGGATGAGAAAAACCACAAAGAGGGTGGTCCGGTGTTCATGGAAGCTGGAGAACCCCAGGAAAACAAACTCTGCCACCTGTGTGAGGTTCTTCCTCTGCATTATTCAATTGCAGTGTCTGAAAATGGCAGGGAGTCAACGATGAAAAATTCCAATCATGACACGGATTCTAGAACTGGGACAGAGAAATAATTATAGTGAACACATACACACAAGAGAGTCAATTTCTTTGCTCTATAATCAGGATTGCTAGATTGTGTCATGTGGCTCCTTCACTCCTTTTCTGTTTTTCTTGTCTCCTTAATCTTCCCTTAAGCTTCTGCCTAGGAATCGCCAATATTTGAGACCACTGCACGTATCTTTTTGAAATATCATCATGAATATGTTGTTTTTGTAGAGGATGGATGGAAGTCTTTCTCCTCTATGATATGCATGTCACAGGGGTCCTGTCCCATGCCATCCCAGCTTTGCCCCTCTTTCTCTCCTAGGGTAAGGGCAAGCTGGGACAACAAACTGGGGGTGAGAGAGTTAGACTTACCGAGTTAGAGTCATTGGAGAATAGCCCCCACTTAAGAAAAATTTCTGGTAACAGTGTACAGTATAAGGAGCAGAATTAGTGTCAGTGAGAGTTGATCTTCAGGAACACTTCCATAGAAGTGAAGATGAGGTGTTCCAGGCCTGGCCTAAACGGTCTCGGTGAGTTAAACCACTGACTAAATTGCTTTGTTGTAAAGGCATTAACAAGAATTTGAGGATTTAGGGGCAGGTATACTAGGGAGGGAAGGAGTAGTTATTGGAAAAAAAGAGAAGAGGACCAGCAACACAACAGAAGTTTGGACCTTATATAAAAGAAATTTATTATTTCTTTGATTAGTCAATTTCTTTTTTTGGTAGAGAAAATTTTAAGAATGAAGAGGTCTAATATATGATTTGAAATTATTTGCTAAACCATATTGGGATGTAAACTGCCTCAAGAACTTCAAGCCTTCACTTAAAGCTGCCATACACGAGGGTACTTCAAAAAGTTTGTGAAAAAATAGATTCAAATAATTATATTTTTGTGAACTTTTGTAGACCCCTCATATATAATTTTCAATTAATGGTATTTGGAAAGCGAAAAGAATGTTCAATCTAATCTGTTCAATCTAGTTCATAGGGTGATGGCACAATGCAGAAAAAGGGCACCATGTGCACAGGGTAAAATCCAGAAGGGGGAAGACTCCCTGCTGGTAATGACTGGAAGAAGCACAGGCCCTCTCCCACTCTGCCTCCCCCTTGCAGGCACACACAATATTTCCTAAACTTTGGTGAGTGACTCTGGGATTGCTACCATGTGTCAAATGTGGTTTGGACCATTTTACTTAAAGAACAAGATAATACCATCCAGCTGGATGATTTTGGCACATTTGGGGAACTGCCACTGGGAATCTAGGAAACATTCTAGATTCCTAGGAATCTAGAAAATACAGTTTAGGAAACATTGTGTGTGTTCTGAACAGCACTCCATCATGGAAAATAGAAGGCAAAAGTTTCAAATAGAAATGAGTTATTGTGTTCTGAACAGCACTCCATCATGGAAAATAGAAGGCAAAAGTTTCAAATAGAAATGAGTGTGACACTAGTAATTAAAGTAACTTACCTTAAAAGACCACTGAGATAGCAAGTGGATAGGCAAGGATTAAAGAGAGTATAATGAAAGTCTAAGCAGCTTTTTAGAAATGATGGGGTAGAGTTGTAGAGCTGTCATATATAAACTTAAGTCAATTGAAATTAAAGAAAATTAAAAATTCAGTTTATCAGGTACACTAGGTACATTTCAAGTGCTAAAAATCTATGCCTGACTATTGGCTTCCATATTGGACAGCACAGTTATCAAACCTTTCTTTCATCGGTGAAAATTCTGTTGGACTGTGCTGTTATAGGGTGTTACCATGGACAGACGTGTGAAATACATTAAATAACAAAAAAAGCTATTTAAAGAACAGTAATATAGTCTGCTGCCATATGGTTAAGAATATTTGTGTGTGTGTGTGTCTGTGTGTGTGTGTGTGTGTGAATGCTCATAAATATTTGTACATGTGGGAAAAACGGTCTGAAAGAATATGTACCTGATATTATCATGGGTTAATATCACAACTGTTATGTTGTGGTGGGCATGAGATTGTGGGGAACTTTGACTTTTTACACTGCCATACTTACAGTGATAATATGAGTCTTATTTTAAAATATTTTGATTTTGACCATAAAAGTATGGCTTACAAATAGTTTGGAGAAGTCAAGAAAGATGGCAACTGAGAACAGATTAGACTGAACAAGAAGGAGGCCACTGATGACCTTACTGGTCAGTTTCAGTAAGTCCTGGGCTGGAAAGCCTGATTACATGGAGTAAACAGAGGGGAATTTTGTTATTATGTCAGATGAGAACAGC